GGGAAACCAGGTCCTCCAACACACCCATGAATACAGCTATCTGGGACTAAAAATCAGCTCAACGGGGAACTTCAAACTGGCTGTGAATGAACTGAAAGCAAAGGCACTGAGTCTTCTACATGATCAAAAATACAATTCAATTTGAAATTCCAATTCAAACCTGGCTAAAAATCCTAAAAGCAATAATCGAACCAATCACTCTTTATGGCAGTAAGATATGGGGACCCCTAAAAAACCTAAGATTTCTCCAAATGGGAAAAAGAAAAAATTTAAATTATGCATACCCAAATTTGTAAAAGCATCTTAAAAGTTAACAGAGCAACCCCAAACAACTCATGCAGAGCTGAATTAGGACAATACCCATTATTAATTAGTATTCAAAAGAGAGCTGTGAAATTCCACCAGCACCTGAGATGCAGTGATGCGAGCTCTTACCAGACTGAAGCCCTGCAGTGGCAGGAGCAGAACCTGCAGAAGAGTGCCCTTTTACAGCTGGTGCTCAAACTACACCCAAACCAGCACAGCACAATCCGGCCCAACTACATCACACAGTTACAAAAACACAATTACATTGCTTATTGGAAAGATGCCACTAAATTACAAAAGAAGATGGAGCTGTATTTAGACCTAAAAAGAGACTACAAACCAGCAGAATACCTGAGCTGTGTAAAAGATCACAAATTAAGAAAGTCACTAACAAAATACAGACTGTCTGGCTATAGAGAGAGGACGACACAGACAGAGATGGCAGCCGCGAGAACAGAGATTGTGTTCACTGTGCTCACAGAAAGAGCTGGAAACAGAGGAATATTTCTTACTGCACTGTGATTACTATCACAACATTAGAGCTGCATATTTCCCAAAATTCCTACAAATTAAACCACATTTTATGGCATTACCAAATACTGAAAAATTAAGTCACATTTTAGGGGAAGATTCCAAAATGATCACAACAGCAGCAAGATATGCATCAGCCTGTCAAAAACTAAGACTGTCAGCCAGTGGACATAACTGAAGCAAGAGCATTTCTTACATGTACTGTTGTACAATTTATTTTATTTTTTTATTTTTAACAATGTCTTTAATATTTTTATATTTCTTGTTTGTGAAAAAAAAAAGTTAAAAAAAAAAGAAAGTACTTATTTACTTAATTCTTTTACATATCTATTGTTATTTTGTTTATGTATTATATAATTGTTTATTCCTTACTCATGTAATGGACAATGCTTTGGCAATACTGTGCAAGTCATGCCAATAAAGCTCATTTGAATTTGAATTTGAGAGAGAGAGAGAGAGATAATGATCTTTAAAAAAGCATCATATGACCCCTTTAAGTAGGCTACCTATCCGTGTCATTAATGTTAACCAACAAAAGATGTTAAATAATTGTTAAGTAAACCTACTGTATCTGAAAAATGAGTTTAATTTGTATCTCTTTCGTATTTGTCTTATTGTCTTATTCTGCTTTTTTTCATAAATTATATATATTATATATGAACAACTATAATTTTTTTATAAGTCGCTCCCTTTTCACTACTGTTAAAGATAGTTCACCCAAAAATGAAAATTGTCCATTTATTCAAGTTTTTCCAAATTCAATCATTGATTCAAATTCCTCATACACTTAATTGATTTGGTCTAAAGAGAGAAGAATTAATGACTATTTTTGTTTGAAGACTTTTATATTTGGTAGCATATAAAATAGCTACCAAATTAAATGTTGGTAACTGGAGTTTGACTAAAAGTAATGACTAAAAGTTGACAAAAATGCAATGACTTTTCAGCGACTAAAATTAGACTAAAACTATGAAAGACTCAAATGACTAAAATGTGACTAAGACTATTAAGCATTTTCGTCTCAAGATAAGGACTAAGCCTAAATCAAAAATGCCTGTCAAAATTAACACCGATTCCATAATAAAGTTTTCAAAAAATGGGACGTTTTCAACATGTACAAAACATTCCGATATAACATTTTCATAACTTAATGGGAATGTTAGCAAAACGTTCTGACAACTTATTTTTGTTAGCTGGGTACATGACTAAATGCATTAGGTTGCTGTCATGTGATTGGCTGATTTGCGTTAAGGAGCAATTGAACAGAGTAAAGTGGCCTGTGAGTGTAAGTCTAACATAGGGCAGTCGTGACCTAATGGTTAGAGAAGTCGGACATGTAGCCTGCAGGTTGCGGGTTTGAATCTCAGGTCCGGCAGGAATTGTAGGTGGGGAGAGTGAATAACCAGCGCTCTCTTCCACCCTCAATACCACAACTTGAGGTGAGACACTTGAGCAAGGCACCTAACCCCCAAATGCTCCCCGGGCCCCGCAGCAATATGGCTGCCGACTGCTCTGGGTGTGTGTATACGGTGTTGTGTGTGCACTTGGATGGGTTAAATGCAGAGCACAAATTCCAAGTATGGGTCACCATACTTGACACACGACACATGTTAATCAAGGAACAAAAACTTGTTTTATCATCTGAGAAATACTGTGCTGATTTGTTCCTTTTTATCGAAGATGCTATGAAACTAAGTATTATCTGATGCTAAGAAACTAATTCATGCATTCACCTTTTCTCGTTTTGATTATTATAATGCTATTTTTACTGGCTTGTCTAAGAGTTGTATAGTTAAGCTACAATTAATGCAAAATGCATTATGGTTGCCAGTTCACCAAAGGATTGATTTTAAGTTTATTTTCTTAGTTTATAAAGCACTGCATAATCTGGGACCTTTATAGGGCACTTACTGTTTGTCAAGATATGCTCCAAATCATAGTTTAAGATCCTCTAATGCAGGGGTGTCAAACTCAATTCCTGGAGGGCCAGAGCCCTGCAGAGTTTTGTTCCAACCTCGCTCCAACACACATACCATGTAGTTTTCAAATAAGCCTGAACGACTTGATTAGTTGGATCAGCTGTGTTTAATTAGAGTTGAATCTAAACTCTGCAGGGCTCCGGCCCTCCAGGAATTGAGTTTGACACCCTTGCTAGTGCTTAGTCTTTTGGTACACTCTACAGTAAATCTTAAACAATCCAGTGGTGCTTCTTTTAGTAACTATGCTCCAAAAGTTTGGAATTACTTACCAGTTGAAGTGAAAAAGGCTTCTAGCATTCATATTTTTACAACATATTTTCAAGACATTTTTTAAAAAATTACTTTCGAGTATAAATTAATATTAATATTGTGTGGCTGAATCATATTGTCAGTGTTTGTTCTTATATTTTATTTTGTGAGCTTCTTTAAGTTTTTTGGGGGTATTATTTATATTGACATTGAAATTTAATTGCCAATGTTTCTTTTTAAGCCTCTATTATCTTGTGAAGCACTTTGAGCTGCATTTTGTGTGAAATGTGCTATACAAATAGTTTATTCTTCTTATTATTATTATTAATAATAATTCTTACTTGACTCCTTTAATGGTTAGGATCCGTGCTGACGTCACGTTAAACACTCGCTCAAATCGCTCCAACTTCTGCTTAGTCATTCTGCCAAAGTGAAGAGAAAGACAGTACAGGAAGCACACCTTAGTCAAATCAGGCACCTGTACACACACACACACAGCCACACACACGTTAAAATTCCCTTGAATATACAATGACCTGATTCTACAACCTGTCCGTCTTGCTGCTAAAAACTGATCTGAGATTGTTGACAGCATGTTGCAAAAACATTTCTTTAAAAACTTTTTTTTTTTTAAAGTTAACATCACTTCCAAGTAAGAATTCACAATATATAATAACGTAATATTATTCAATACTGCAGATATTTGAAATATAATGTAATTTTATCTGTAATATGATACAGTGAAAACATCATAAACATTGAATCAGATGCACTCATGGACAATGTGTGCGCATAAAAACCACACATGAACTACACATTTGACCTGCAGGTTAATGCACTCATGGACAATGTGTGCGCATAAAACCACACATGAACTACACATTTGACCTGCAGGTTAATTGCAACCCTTAAACTCACTCGTTATGGAAGCCGATGTCGTGATTTCCGATAAGAACCACAAGCTCTGTGTGACTAGGATGATGGAAGATCCGTTTAAAACGTCTGACGTCATCTTCCCAGTCCTGATTAGAGAGTCAGAGCACATTTAACACAGTGGCTGATGTCAGTGATCAAAAATTTTATTTAAAACTATTCTGATATGACATTTCTCTGTGTAAAATATGAACCCAATTGTCTTTTGACAGTATTGTTGATGCTTTTTTCCCGAAGTATTTGTGTGCTTGACCTCTGAACTGTAGTATCTCACGTCTCTAAAAAGGCACCTGATTACTGCCATATACTGTACATTATTTAAAAAAAACAAAGAATATTAAGTTAATACATAAGAAAGTTGCCTGGATACTTTTAGGATATCTCACAGGTCAAAATGAGAAACCATTTGAAACCATTCAAAATAAATGGACTTTACCTAAGGCCAAGTAGTAGGATTTATGTACTAGGTATCTTTATTTGGTTTAAAAACTGTACACACTGAATTTATCAACTTTAGCTTCCCATGGATTTGTAAAGTACTCCTTAATTTAGAAATATTTGCCCATTGATTCATCTAACGAAAAAGAGTAAAAAATATTTTAAAAAAATATTTGTAAAAGTTGAATAATGTAACGCAGTTCATAGCTACGGGAAGGAGGAGGGAACCAGCGAACATTTAAACATAAAACTTTAAAGGTGCAATCACTGCGGCCACAGAACCTAGGGATGAGGGCAGACGAGGCGAGAGAAAAGGAGACAGAAGGATGAGGAGAGACGGAGGGGAGAGAGGGGAGAGAGGAAAAGGAAAATTCTCTGCCCGGTTCCCAGATACACTGCTGCTTGGTCCTCAACCAGCTGAGTGGCTCTCACTCGCGGTGCAATGCGATGGCACTGCACATCCTTTCGTGGACGGCTCAATGCTCCTTCGCCTCCTTGCTGGGCGGCGATGGCTCCTCCAATTGAGGGCAGCCGGCATGCTCCTCCCCAAACATGGTGGAAGGCAGCAGGCTCCGGCCTCCCGGCAAATGGTGCCGTCTCCTCCGCTCCCTCTCGGACGGCAGCCACCCCTCCTCGACCCCGGAGCATGGCAGCGAGCTCTCCGTCCCATCTCGTCTTCCATCACTCCAGCACCACCACCTCGGGCAGCCACTGCTTCATGCTGCCCGACCTTCTCAGCAGCGAGGGCTGTCTGACAGTGTGTCCCTCCTTCCTCCCGGGTTTCGCACCAATGTAACTCAGTTCGTAGCTACGGGAAGGAGGAGGCGGGAACCCGGATAAGAGTAATATATCATTCGAAACTGCAGAGGGTCTGCTTTTATATTTGTACACCTCCAATAACAACAAAACATTGTGGTTTTGCAAAATAAAGAAAACAAACAGGGTGCACTTTTTGCCATCTCGGTCTCCGTGAACTTGTCTCTGAAACGCATCACAAAAATGAACCAAATCTCAGCGAATACTTAACACACATATATGAGAAATGAGTCTATAGAAAGCGTGAAGTCTCTACTTTTAAATGAAGAAAGTCATATTGAAAACAAATATTCTCTTATAAAGTAATCCATATGAAACCAACAAGAGGTACAGTCTTTTCTGTCTGAGCTCATTATCTGTAATTTAGTTACATCCACGTGCGACGCAGGATATTCATACAGTAATCATCCAAGTGAGCCACTCGAACATGTAAACGCCCCATCACCTCAATAAACAAAGCAGCAAGATTCATCTAGGTTACATTTCATTTTTGATAGAAGACACACTTTTCTTCAGTCATTTTTCTTATTTGCATTAGTTAACGTGTTATTGTGATATAAACTTGAACACATTTTACTAGTTGGGTTTATCCCAAGCTATAATGATAGTACATACAAAAACGTGTCTATGACTACAAAATTATGTTTTAATATAAATATATATATATATATATCTATATATATATATATATATATGTATACATATAATGCTCCTGATATCAACATGCTCACATATGTTTTTTATTTTTTTTGTGACCAGATACCTGCACCACAGATGAGTCCTGCTGCTGTACAAACATGAATATGGTAAAATATGCTCCATGACTACTGATGATGGGGCTTTATTTTTCAGTGCATGGAAAGAAGCAGCAAGCACATTGGAAATACCAGGTATGGTTTACTTGTTCTACCAGTTTAACAGGAACTGTTTCCAGAAATTGCACAATGGTGTGACTGTTCCAAGTTTCTGTGTTTAGATCAGTGTACTCAATAATGTGACTTTGATCTCCATTATGTATATTATATTGTGTTGTAAATAAAATACAAAAAATCAAAAATCCCATTCTCTTAATTTCCTCACATTCTTTCTTACCTGCCTCACATTCCACACTGATTGGCCAATTAGAGGAGGGGTTTTGTTTCTAAGGTGCGAATCACATCAATATTCATTGCCATTGTCACTCCCTCACATATAGCCTTACTAACACAAAATGTGTCTAACAAAACTTAATTCAATATATTGTTTTCTGTGAATGAGTGGGGAGTGATTTTAGCAATAAACTCTAGTCTACCACATCCAGTTTTCAAAAGTCTTATAAACAAATATTTTGTATGTGTTTTAGGGCCTTTTTTCACTAACCAGACATAAACATTGTTTTCCCAAAAATACAAACTCAAAACATACATGCTGCTCACATATTATTGTAGCAGTTTGTGCTAAATACAGTGTAATCAGACTTTAATCATTAATACGTTTATGCCTGAAACTGAAAAATAACACAAATGTCAGTGCGTGTCAAAACTTCTCAAGGACCCAAAAACAACCTCAGACCCCAGAGGGTTAAATTAATGTTAAAAAATGAATGGAAGTAAAGATGTAACAATGTGGTTGAAATTTGATACAAATGTGTGACGATTCAAGTCGGTTGAGATGTTTAACTAATCGTGTTACAATTGGGGGTGGGGGTTTATATGACCACCCTGATTGTAAAGCAAAACGTGATTGGTTATAGCGAGAACGTGCTATGACTGGTCAGCGAAGTGTGGCTGTTATCTGATCGGCTTGAGTAGACGGTGGGTGGAGTCCACGCATTTGTGGATTGTCAGCGTCTTGACACTACATATGTTTCAAAATCCATAAATGTACAGCGAGCGATCCACAAATGCGTGCAGCAATCCGAACGCATTTCTGAAATAAATGGCAGGCAAAGTTGTGTTTGGGACATAAAAATGTATTTGTGAATATGTCTCATTTTATTTATTTGTGAATTTAATTAATGTTTGTGAAACTCTGATATTTATTTGTGGATCTCATTTTATTTATTTGTCAATATGTTAAATTTTTTGTAAATCTCTTTACATTTATTTCATCTATTTATTTGGAATAACGCAACAATTCTACCCCCATAGAAGGCCAACCCCTAAATCAGTAAAATGTTGTTTTGCTGAGATTTAGCTTGTTCATGATACCTTTTGGTTGCTAGGGGGTCCTCTAAATGGTTGCTATGGTGTGGCTACACAGTTTCCATGGTAATACTTACAGATTGAATACCCACCCTAATTACAAGAGCCCACCTCTATGTCTCAACAATGTTCTGGTGCTAGGAAATGGGTTGTTCATGTTGCTAATGAGTTGCTAGAAACAGTTAAAAATGGTTACTAGGACTTGGCTAGGTAGTTACCATGGTGATTCAAGGCTGCTGATAGCCTAAGCCAAACAGTTAAAAATGGTTACTAGGACTTGGCTAGGTAGTTACCATGGTGATTCAAGGCTGCTGATAGCCTAAGCCAAACAGTTAAAAATGGTTACTAGGACTTGGCTAGGTAGTTACCATGGTGAATTAAGGCTCCTGACAGCCTAAGCCAAAAAGGCCCACCCCATGCCTCCATGTTTTTCTACTGCAGAGATATGGCCTATTAATTTTACTATATGAATGCTAGGGGAGTACTACAAATGGTTGCTAGGGCATGGTTAGACAGTTGCCCATGTGATACTTGAAGACTACTTGCCAGTCTGAGGTACTAGAGCCCACCCCCTTGACTCTACGATATTCTGATCTACTCTATTCAATGGAAGTGTGGTAAGCAGCACATTTTATGGTGGGGCCCCTCTCTGGCAACAACAGTGGACAGAGTTTTGCTACATTTTGATTGGATCTTGGTGGACTAACATAAGCAAACTGTCCAACGCCATCAGATAAAAATGCTAGGACAACAGCCAGACACCTCTTAAGCCTCGTACACACCGGGACGATTATCGCTGTCATTTTTCGACGCGTCTTTTGTGTTCATACCCAAGCGATTTTCGCAGGCGATGAGCCGAGTGAACGTGCAAATTCACTCCCTGACATTAGATGGCACTTAATGAAAAACAGAAATACCTCGGTACACATCAAATCCTATTTGATCTGCAATTCCTCTCCATAACAACTCCCTCTTATCGAGATTTTTGTAGTCGCTGTCGCGTTTGTCATAAAGCCCTTTGTGTTCAGACACCAATGAGACCAGCAGCTCTACATTCATCTAGCCTCTATGCATCTTCTTGGTCTACGTACTTCCTCTTTGTTGTTTGGCATCAATGTGTGCTCGGCAAGACCGTTTTGTGCTTGAGCGCCACCAAGTCGTGTTTTACTGTAACTTCAGCAGCTCCAGGCACGTGAACAGAAGCGTCAATCTCATTGGTCAGCCAGTTTTTAACGCGGCGCGTCAAATCAAAAAAACGAGCCCGAGGCATTTTTAAAAAAATTATGCTTTTATGCCTCGCGTTTTGCACGTCAGTGTGCACATTCACATTGGCGCCCTTTGTTTAGTCACGAGGCGTTAAACGTCGGCGATAATCGCGCACGATATTCGTCCCGGTGTGAACAAGCCTTTAGAGGGCAAGAAGAAGACCTCTAGTACCAAGCCTAGGAAGTTTCTGCCCTTCACCCACCTAGAGACTGATTCCTAATGTTTTGGTCCAGCATACATGCAGCATGAGTAGTTTTTAATCTAAATCGACTGTATAATTTTGAAATTTGAAGCAAAAACAGAATGGTCTGACTTTAGTTTTGTGAAACTATACTACATAAAACATATCTGAACGAAACAGCAGATGAGCTGAATGAGACGCAAAT